ATTACTATTATTATTATTATTATTATTATTATTATTATTATCATTATTATCAATTATTATTATCATTATTACCATAATGATACTATCAATTATTCTGTTTTTATTATGTCCCCAAGAAATGATCATATTATCCCTGGACGATTATTACTAATGTTCATTAAATTGTCTTATCAGTTCTAAATATTGTCACTAACCTCTGCAAAATTATTATACCTTATTCTCCAATTATTATTATTAATTAGTATTCGTCAAATTAACTTTATCTTCCGACATTATCATAAGCATTCTAAAACAAATTCAGTGGAACTCCAAATGAAAATTTGAGTTTCATACGAAAACTGTTTTGACTGTATTTTTTCTTAAAATTTTCAGTAATTTGAAAGACCATGGTTCGTAGCTCAAGACCGCTATTTTTTGTTTGTTGCTACAGTAAATACTTTAATTGATGATAGTATTTTGCAGAGGATTCATGCCTAAGGGTAAAAAGTCAAAGATTCCGCGAAGCTCAGGTAAGCGGTACTTTCTTTTGTGACTGTTAGAAATCATGCAAGACTATATACTATTTATGTTAGTGGTCCTTTGATTACAATAATATTCATAACCGAACTTGTTAAGAAAAAAAATGACAAGGTTCTGAATCTTAATCACTAATTGTGTTCCGCCGCTTCCATTATATTGTTCACTCGATTACTTTACGAGTATAAAAATACTCGTAAAGTCGTATACAATTAATTAGAATGCCTATTTATATAGAATAACTTTCATGTATTTCATTTCACCATTAATTTAGTGATATTATAGCTTAATTTAGCTTAATTTATAGCTTAATTTATAGCTTAATTTATGTTTACTACTGTACAATTTCAATTTATCGCATAATTCCACTTTACTTTATTCTTTTTTTTAGCATCCAACTTTAAGACTGAAAATTTGATGATAGAGAAAAAAAGTGAAAATGAATTATTTTTATTCCACGTTTAGAAAATTCCTTCATTTAGTTAATAAATCAGTTACTCCTCATATTTGTGTTTGATAATCTCACAGTTTCCACCATTTTCATTCCTTTTCAATGGCTATCGAACTTGAGGTGAAAGTGTGCATAGCCCAATATGGTCCGTAACCCGTCGACAGCGTACCGAGCTTTCACCGCGGCGAGACGATGAAACCGGATCAACGCAGACATTTAGTTCACGGACAGTAACTACTACCGAACGCATACAAATGATCCCAGTGCCAGACAACTTTGATACACCTATGGATGTCCTAATACCAATAGGTTATCGTCGCTTTTATACCCTTTGATAAATTTACGAAAAGAAAAATTAAGTTGATGAAAACATTTAGATTATTCCGAATTATCATAGCAATTCCAATCTTTTAATAAAATATATTACGACGAAGTGTTTTTTTTCTTATGTAAGTGCAGGTTACAGCATGCGAAATTCTAGTACGAAATATATAAACATTTGGTAAGAAATGTATATCTAAACAGCAAATATTAAAATGTTTGGCACAAAATGTATTTGCAAAAAACAAATATTCAGATTTTTGGTATGAAATCTAATTTTAAATAACAAATATATCCGGTGCATCTTGAATGTTTAGAAGCACATTATCTGTGTATTCCAGCGGATTATAAAAAGGAGAAAAAAATGATTGAAGATAGGGATCATTCATTATCGAAAATGTTTTGTTTTAGTTTAGCCAAACAATACCAATATGATTTACAGATAAGAGTGAAAGGTATTTTGCAACAACAACAATAACAAATGAATCTCATAGCATACCAATCATAAGCGGTATAACCGTGAACGGAGTTCCACTTTATACGGGTTTATATACTGTGCCGAAAACAACGGAAACGAAAGAAGTAAGGACAATGATGACAACGACAACGACAACAACATACAGCATTATTGAAATTGACGACAGTGAGGAAGAGTTGAAAGTGGAAACGGAAGAGAAAACAATACCGGAAAGTACACAAATAACATTGGATTTTCCGCTAGACTACGAAGTTGTCGATTTCAAAGATTTGGTTGCAGAATCGTCTGAAGAGGAAAAAGAGCACCTTTACGTAGTGGTGGGCAAAAAAGATTCACCAACCCGAACAACTGATGCAGCAGACTACGTAGTAAAGATGATCGACATCGACCTACCATCCAGTCAGAGAAAAGGTTGGACAAGCATAGAAAGAATACCAGATGCAGAATCTGAACGATTAAAGCAGAGTGAAGCAGAAGGATACATTGAGAGGCATGACTATGACGCCTATGAAGGAACTGTTGCATCCACTAGTCGAACAAGCGAGATAGACCAAAAACCAATCAATCAGTACGTGACCGTGTATCACAACGGAGTATCACCAGGAGAGCTAGATCTGGAGGAGAAAAGGATAAATAAAGAGATTTCAACCGTAGTTGCAAAACTTTCTGGAGCATACAAAAGAGCATCAATTGAAGGGGAGCATACAATATACACGGACGCGAAAACAGAACAAATTACACAGCAAGAGACACAAAGTGCATCACGGCAAATAAAAGAGTCACCACAAAGATTGAAATCGACATATACGGTTCGATTTTCTGATCCATTTCGCATTGAAGCAGACGATTATTCATGGATCCGGCAGGAAAACCAGCGAGAAAATATATTAGAGAAAGCAAAAAAAGGACAAAAGCAGGCACGCGATCAGTGCAAAAGACAAAAAGAACAGCAAACAACGCAAAGAAAAAGAAAGGACATAAAAATAACCGAAGAGACAAGACAAAAGAAAACGTTTGCTGCAGCAAAGATTACCACCGGACTTTTCAAAAAAGATGAAACATACCTGGATTATCCTGCAATGGAAACATATGAAGGCCCAGTTGATTCAATTTATCGGATACAGGATGTTGAAAGTGAACCGATTGAACATCTGGTCACTGTCTATCATAGTGGTCGTTCCGATGAATTTGTACCGATGGAAGAGAAGAAACCCTCCGTAGATGTGGGTGAAGTTTTCACAGATGCTGCTCAAGCACTTGGAGCGAAAATCACCGGTCTTTTCAAAAGAGGTCCCGCTCATCTGGATTATCCAACATCAGGCCCATATGATGGACCGTTGGCTTCAACAAGCCTTGCATGGGATGTGGAAGGAGAGCCATTGCAACAGCATGTTAGCGTTTATCACAGTGGACGTTCCGACG